TGACTCTTTTTTTTATTAATGTTTACTTATTTTTGAGAGAGAGAAAGGGCAAGTGGGGTAGGGGCAGAGAGAGAGAGAGAGAGAGAGAGAGAGAGAGAGAGTGGGAGACAGAATCCAAAGCAGACTTCCAAGCTCTGAGCTGTCAGCAAAGAGCCCGATGCGGGGCTCAAACTCATGAACCTTGAGATCATGACCTGAGCCAAAGTCAGGTGCTTAACCGACTGAGCCATCCAGGTGCCCCAAGCCTCTGACTCTTGATTTCAGCTCAGGTCATGATCTCACAGTTCAGGGGCTTGAGCCCTGAGTCGGGCTCTGTGCTAACAGCGAGAAGCCTATTGGGATATTCTCTGTCTCTCTGTCTCTGTCTCTGTCTCTGTCTCTCTCTCTCTCTCCCCCTCCCCTGTTCACACTCTGCCTCTTTCAAAAATAAACACTAAAAAAAAATCTTTAAAACATAAAAGTAAAAGATGTTATAAATAATATATAAAATAAATGTTTAATATAAATATGTATAGAATCTAATAGCCTAGGAATAGATTTAAGAATTTTGCTATATTTATGTTAATTAACTCTAAAACTTCTTTTTAATTTTAAAAAATGTTTATTTATTTTTGAGAGACAAAGCACAATCAGGGGAGGGGCAGAGAGAGAGGGAGACAAAGAATCTAAAGCAGGTTCCAGGCTCTGAACTGTCAGCACAGAGCCTGATGCAGGGCTCACACTTAGGAGCTGTGAGATCATTACTGAGCCAAAGTCAGACACTTAACTGACTGAGCCGCCTAGGTAGTCCCAAGGACTTAATATTTTAAATTTTCCATTTGGTAAAACATTAAGAAAAAAAATGAAAAAATATATACCATTTGGTAATTTCTTTACAAAGATACTAAATAACAAAAATTAAATGGAGACAAAATAAAAGAGACTTAATTACTATAAAAGAAAACAGGAAGGAAGAGTAAAGATAATGAAATCAATAAAACAAATAGAAGATGGTAGACTTAAACCCAATTATGTCAATAAGCTCATTATAAGTAAGTGGATGTCAGTTTTTCAGAAAAGACTATGTTGTTCATTAGAAATACATTTAAACATAAAGACACAGATAACTTGAAAGTATAAGGGTGAAAAAAAGACATAGCATGAAAACATTAATCAAAAGAAAGCTGGCATGACATATTTATAAGACAAAATGTACTTTCAGGCAAGAAGTGTTGCTAGAAATAAGAAAGAACATTTCATAATAATCAAAGCACTGGTTCAATAGGAAAACCTGACAATCTTAAGTCTGTATGGACATAATAACATAGCTTTAGCATATATGAACCAAAAATTAGGGCTCCTGGCTGGCTCAGTCAGTGGAGCATGTGACTCTTGATCTCAGGGTTGTAGGTACGAGCCCCACATTGGGCATAGATATTCCTTACATATAAAATATTTAAAAATATACATGAGGGGCACCTGAGTGGCTCAGTAGGCTGAGCATCTGACTCTTGATTTTAGCTCAGGTTATGATCTCCTGGCTTATGAGATGGAGCATCGTGTTTGTGCTGACAGCCTGCTTGGGATTCTCTATCTCCTCTCTCTCTGCCCCAACCCCCCACTCACACCCACCCTCTTTCTCTTTTAAAATAAATATAAGAAAATATGTATATATGAAACAAAAATTAAGTAAACTAAAAAGAGAAATAGATGAAATCACAATCATAATTGGTTTTTTTAATGTTCTTTTTTGAGAGTGTGTGTGCACACACACGTGCTAGTGGGGGAGGGGCACAGACAGAGGGAGACAGAGGATCTAAAGCAGGCTCTGTGCTGATAGCAGAGAATCCCATGTTCAAGCCCCAGGGGCTCGAACTCATGAACCATGAGATCTTGACCTGAGATCTTGACCTGAGGTGAACTTGGGACACTCAATCAACTGAGCCACCCAGGTGTCCCCATAATTAGGGATTTTAACACACATTTCCTAGTAACCAAAATCAAAAAGACCAAATTGTCAATGAAAATATATTTAAACAACACTGTTAAGCAACTTGACCTAATTGAAACTCAGAGAACACTGTGCCGGATAATTGCAGAATACACATTCTTTTCAAGAGCACACCAAAATAGACCATATGCTGGGTTATAAAGCAAAACTCAACAAATTTCAAAGGACTGAAATTATACAGAGTATATTTTCCAACTATTAGAAATCGACACAGAAATATAAGGAGAAAATCCCAAAATGTGTTAAAATTAAGGAACACACTTCTAAATGACCTGTGGCCAAAGAAGAAATCACAAAGGAAATTAGAGAATATTTTGAACTGGGGTGCCTGGGTGGTTCATTCAGTTAAGCATCTCTTTTTTTTTTTTTTTTTAGTGCTTATTTTTGAGAAAGACACACACACACACACACACACAGAGTGCAAGCAGGGGAGGAGCAGAGAGAGAGACACACACACAGAATCAGAAGCAGGCTGCAGGCTCTGAGCTGTCAGCACAGAGCCTGACATAGGGCTTAAACTCACAAACCATGAGATCATCGCCTAAGCCAAAGTCAGGACGTTTAACCGACTGAGCCACCCAGGAACCCCAAGCTTCAGACTCTTGATCTCAGCTCAGGTCTTGATCTCAGGATTGTGAGTTCAAACTTTGCATTGGGCTCGATGCTAGGTGTGGAGCCTACTTAAATAAAAAAAAATTTTTTTTGAACTGAAGAATAATGCAAATAAAACACACCAAAAGCTATGGGATGTAGCTAAAGCAGTGCTTAGAAGGAACTTTATGGCCTCTAATGAATACATTTTAAAAAAAAGAGGAATGGCTGAAAATCAGTACTCTAGGGGCACCTGGCTGGCTCAGTCCAAAGAGCATGTGACTCTTGATCTCAGGGTAGTGAGTTCAAGCCCCACATTGGGTGTAGAGCTTACTTGAAGAAAAATAAAAATAAATTAAAATCAATAAGCTTTCATTTTATAAAACTTGAAAAAGCACAAATTAAACTTAAATAAAGTAGAAGGAAAGGAAACAGTAAAGAGAGCACAGTAATCAATGAAATAGAAAGTATACATACTATAGAGAAATTATCATAGCTAAAAATTCATTTTTAATGGAATAATAAGATCTATCATCTCCTAGCAAACATAAGCAATAAAAGAGGGGCGCCTGGCTGGCTCAGTTAGTGGAGTATGCAACCCTTGATCCCACAGTTGTGAGTTTGAACCCCACATTGGGTGTATAAATTATTTTAAAATAAAATCTTTTTAAAAAGTCAATAAAAGAGAGAGAAAACACAAAAAATCAGTATTAGGAGTTTCAAAATGTCATGTTACTACACATTCTACAGATACTAAGAGAACACAGTGAACTTTATGGCAATAAATTTGACAATGTACACAAATTCTTCAAAAAATACAATTTACCAAAACTGATACAAAAAGAAGTAAAATGCTAATACTTTGATATATGCTAAAGAAATGGAATTTATAGTTAAAATTCCATAAAAAATAAACCAGGCCCAGGTGACTTTCAAGATAAATTGTACCACATATTTAAAAAAAAAAAATTTTAACATTGTATTTATTTTTGAGACAGAGAGAGACAGAGCATGAACGGGGGAGGGGCAGAGAGAGAGGGAGACACAGAATCGGAAGCAGGCTCCAGGCTCTGAGCCATCAGCCCAGTGCCCGACGCGGGGCTCGAACTCACAGACCGCAAGATCGTGACCTGAGCCAAAGTCGGACGCTCAACCGACTGAGCCACCCAGGCGCCCCTGTACCACATATTTAAGAACAAATAATGATAATTTCTCTCAAACCCTTTCAGAGATTAGACAAAAGGTAACACCAGCTTACTTATCTTATGAAGCTAACATAAATCTGATGCCAAAACCAAAATCTTTCCTGCATATAAATGCAAAAATTCTAAATAAAACACTAGCAAATTGAATACAGAGATTGTTTAAAAATGCAGTAACCAAGTATGTTCATCCCAGGGGAGCAAGGTTGATTTAACATTCTAAAATAATTAATATAATTCACCACATTAACAGAAAAAGAGAAAAACCATATAATTATCTCATTAGATACAGAAAATTCATTGATAAAATAAACATGCACTCAGGAAAAACTTCTCAGCAAATTGAGAATATATGTGAAATTTATTAATCTGACAAAAGCTATCTACAAAAATACCAAAAAACTACATCTAACATATTTATGGTAAAATATTGACTATTTTCTCTCTGAGGTGCCAATGCAATTCTGCACAAGAAAATATGTTTGTTTGGATTTTTTTAACATGTGAGACCAGAACTACGAGGATTAAAAAAAAAAAAACTCACAAAGTTAACTCTTTCCTTAGACCATATACAAAAATTAAAAATGGCTCATAAGTATAAATGTGTCAAAATTAAATATACCAGGGGCACCTAGGTGGCTCCCTTGGTTAAGCATCTAACTCTTGATTTCAGCAGGGGTCATGATCTCACAGGTTCATGAGTTAGAGCCCCACATCGGCCCCACGCTGAGAGTGTGAAGCATGCTTGGGGTTCTCTCTCCCTCTCTCTCTGCTCCTCCTCCTCCCCTCTTTCAAAATAAATAAACTTAAAAAATTTTAATTAAAAATGCCAAACTGGGGGCGCCTGGGTGGTGCAGTCGGTTAAGCGTCCGACTTCAGCCAGGTCACGATCTCGCGGTCCGTGAGTTCGAGCCCCGCGTCGGGCTCTGGGCTGATGGCTCAGAGCCTGGAGCCTGTTTCCGATTCTGTGTCTCCCTCTCTCTCTCTGCCCCTCCCCCGTTCATGCTCTGTCTCTCTCTGTCCCAAAAATAAATAAAAAACGTTGAAAAAATAAATAAATAAAAATGCCAAACTGTCAAATTACAATATTCAAACTTTTAGAAGAAAACATAGGAGAGTACACCCGCGGTCCTGCGCATCTGTCTCTTGCTTCAACAGTGTTTGGACGGAACAGACCCAGGGACGCCCCTTCTACCGGCCTCCGACCACCTTCCAACTTTTGTTTCCATTTGCAACCTTCGGGGCCATCTTCTTGCCTACCCTCTGCCTCCCGAGCCAGCCAACACCTGATTTTGAACTTAGCTCCTCGTTACCGATCAACCCAGTTCCCAGATTCGTCAGAATTATTCCACCGAGGTGGAGGCAGCCGTCAACCTCGGGGTCGACATGTATCTGCAGGCCTCCTACACCTACCTCTCCCTGGCCTTCTAGTTCGACCGTGACCACGTGGTCTGGAAGGCCTGGACCACTTCTCCAGCGAGGTGTCTGAGAAGCGGGAGGGCCCTGAGCGTCTCTTGAAGACTCAAAACCAGCTCGGCGGCCGCGCCCTCTTCTGGGAAGTGCAGACACTGTCCCAAGATGAGTGGGGTAAAACCCTGGACGCCATGGAAGCCGCCCTGCTTCTGGAGAAGAAGCTGAAGCAGGCCCTTTTGGATCTGCATGCCCTGGGTTCTGCTCGCGCAGACCCCCATCTCTGTGACTTCCTGGAGAATCACTTTCCAGATGAGGAAGCGAAACTCATCAAGAAGATGGGCGACCACCTGACTAATCTCCGCAGGCTGCCCGGCCCCCACGCTGGGCTGGGCGAGTATCTCTTCCAAAGGTTCACCCTCAAGCACGACTAGAAGTCTCTGGAGCCCAGCAGCTTTTGAGAGGGTCCTTCTGGCATCCCCCAGGTGCCAGGGCTTGTGCCTGAGTCTCTCCTTGCAGCCACTAGGCTGCTTTTTAACCACCTGAAGCCCTCGCCCAAGCCGTGGACCAAATGAAAACAATAAAGCTTTTTAGCAGCAAAAAAAAAAAAAGGGGGGGGGGTAGAAAACGTAGAACTTCTGACCTTGGGGTAGACAAAGTTTTTTTTGTTTTTTGTTGTTGTTGTTTTTAAGTGAACTCTACCCTCCGTGTGGGGCTCAAACTCATAACCCTGAGATCAAAAATCATAGACTCTACCAAATAAACCGGCCAGGCACCCCAAAGATTTCCTATATAAGATGCAAAAGACAATAACCATAAAAGAATAAAAACATAATTGGACTTAATTGAAATTAAGAACTTTTGTTTATTAGAAATACCAGTGAGTAAAGAGGCAAGTTACAAACTACAATAATTATCTATCCATCCATCTGACAAAGGGGTTATAATCAGAACATATAAAGAGTTCAAACAAATTTTAAAAAAAGACCAAAAAACCCCACAACAGTTTAAAGAATGGGCAAAGATTTGAACAAGTACCACACAAAAGAGAATATCCAAGTAGCTAATAAGCATATGAAAATATGGTCAGCATCATTATTCATCAGAAGAATGTACATTAGGGGTGCCTGGGTGGCTCAGTTTGTTGAGCTAGTAACTTGGTTTAGGCTCAGGTCATAATCTCAGTGTCATCAGATCAAGCCCCATGGTGGGTTTGGAACTGGGCATGGAACCTGCTTGAGATTCTCTCTCTCCTCTCCCTCTGCCTCTCTCTCCCACTTGCACGCTCGCACTCTCTCTCTCTAAAATATAAATAAATAAATAAATAAATAAATAAATAAATAAATAAATGGAAATTAAAAACACAAGATACTATTATATATTCATTGGGAAATCTAAGATGTAAAAGCACAAAAACACTGAATATCGGGAAGGATGGGGAGAAGGTGGAAGTCTCATACAACTGCTGGTGGGAGTGTAACTTTAGAAAACTATTAAGCAGTATCTATTAAAGCTACTCTAGGACTCAGCAATTCTTTAGGTTTACGACCAAGAGAAATGAGTATATATACTCAATGAAGGGCATGTTCAAGAAAGTTCATAGCAGCTTTATTTATTACAGTAAAAAACTAGAACAATTCAAATGTCCATCAGCAGGAGAATGGATTACTAATGCATAGTGTATTCATATAGTGGAATATAAAACAATAACAAAAAAGAATGAACTACTGATATATACAACAACAAGTATGAATCCCACAGATATGTTGAGTGAAGGAAGACATCATAAAACTGATTTCATTTATATTCAATTCAAGAACAGGCAGGGGAAATGAATTCGTGTTGATAGAAGTCAGAAGAAGGATTATTCCTGGGGTGAGTGGGCGAAGTGGCAAGACAGAGTTTTCTGAGGTGATGGAAATGTTTTATTGTATTGTATTGTATTGTATTGTATTGTATTGTATTGTATTGTATTTTTGACGGAAATGTTTTATATCTTGATCTGGATGGTGGTTACTCAGCTGTATACCTATGTAAAAAGTTATTGAGCTGTGCACTTCAGATTTTTACGCTATGCTATCTAATTATATATATATGTATATATATGACATAATTTAAAATATACCAATATACGATACTTTAATAACAGTATGATGAAAATTTTAAAGTTAGTCACATTTTCCCAATCAGATTGGCAAAGATCAAACAAAACAGATGGACATTTGAGGAAAAATAGTCTATTGTATACGGTCAAGGGGAATGCAAAAAGGTATAGATTTTGAAAGACAATTTAGTAATATACATCTAAAAGTTTAAAAAAAAATTTTTTTAATATTTATTTTTAAGAGGGAGAGACAAAGCATAAGCAGGGGAGGAGCAGAGAGAGAAGGAGACAGAGAATCTGAAGCAGACTCCAGGTTCTAAGCTATCAGCACAGAGCGGGACTCCGGCGGGAGGGGCGGCTCGATCTCACAAACAGCGAGATCATGACCTGAGCTGAAGTTGCATGTTCAACTGACTGAGCCACCCAGGCACCCCTAAACATCTAAAATTTAAAATGCATACCCTCTGGAGCACCTGGGTGGCTCAATCCATTAAGCGCCCAACTCGATTTTGGCTCTGGTCATGATCTCAAGGTTCATGTGCTGACAGTGTGGGATTCTCTCTCCTTCTATCTCTGCCACTCCCCCACTTGCTCTCTGTATCATTCTCAAGATAAATAAAAATAAACTTAAAAAAAAATAAAATACATACCCTTTAACTCAGCAATTTCACTTTTAGCCATTTGCTGTAAAGACATATTCACACAAGTACTCAAAGATAAAGGTGTGAAGATAGTCACAGAGTCATTATTTATAAAAGAAAAAGATTGGAGGGAAACAAAAGACATGCCCATTCGTAAGAGTTAGATAAGTTTTTTAAATTCATGAAATGTCTTATACCCATCAAAAAGTTTGAGGAGTATCTACATATCTTGACCTACTAGAAAGGAGACTACCAAGTGGGTAAACAAAACAGGAAAACTCAGGCTTCTAGTCTCCATTCTACCACATATCCAGTCACTACTACACTCATTATCTCAGTTTCTTTATTTGTAGAATGGAGTTAATAATATTGTTCTTCCTTGTCCATCTCACAAGTGAGGATCAGATGTAAGAAGCCCTTTGAAAACAGAAAGCATTATAACTGTTTGAAGTGTTTTTCCTGAAAAACACTCTTTTATTAACCCAAACTTTGTGTTTATCTTAATTCACCACCAGTCTAGATTTCTTTTCCCTATCATGCACCTAAACCAGTGTTTCTCAAAATGTGGGCAGCAGACAAGTCTCCATCAAAATGGATGTGGAGAAGTTACCAAGAAAACTGAGCCCAGTCCCAAATCTACCAAAATTTTGGAACTACTGAGTTAGGTAGAAGTAAGCATTAAGTAAACCTTTCCCTGTTCATTGAGAAGAGTCTGGGCTAAATCCCATTAATGGTGGCAGGACATCAGGCTTAGCTTAGATCTGTCTTGGCTTCTGGTTGGCTCTCACTGCAGAAATCAAATGGGCTGCATGGGAACGTAGTACAAATGGTGCCCCCGTTTACTCAGTCCCAACAGGAGCCAAAGAACATTCAATGACAAGAACAATGTGATTGCCACTTTGTGGACAAACATGAACCCAGTTTAGCTTGAAGGACGGTAGCTGTTGGAAAACACCATCTCCTGGGCAACTGCTTTGGTTACTGTCCCCAATTAACTTAGCAGAGTCTCAAAAATAGAAGGCAGCTTCTGTTCTGTTATATAATAAACAGTTCTTTATTTGAAATGACAATATTTACTTTTCCTATAGTGAACTCCAGCAGCCTACTAGGCAGTGGGCAAACAGCAGAAATGCCTCAAATGGAAACTGGAGAAAGCAGTTTAGCTAGCACAGTTTGCTCTAACTTTCCACTTGGCCAATTAGAAGATCCCCTCCATGTTTCTCTGGCATTTTATCTCCTTTGTACAGAACCATGGATTCCATGTGACTTTGTTAACACCATTCATATCTTTCTTGTTTTGGCAAATAGTGAAACACACAAAACAGATGTTCTCTGACACTGAAGTGTGTAAGCACAGCTGGGGTTGTCCCATCAAAAACATTTTTTTGAGGGATTCTACTTAGAGTGTCAGACCTCTTGGTCTCTTCAATGGCAAAGAGCCTGGAGTCTATGTTTCCATGGTCTCATTTTCAAATGATGTTTAAAGGAGGAAAAATAATTAATTATGATGGTTAACCTTTCCCAATATTTAATCTCCCTCTTGTAAGCAAGACACTGTGATTTATGTGGTTGTGCTACTTACTTATTTAGATTTTTTTTAATGTTTATTTTTTTATTTTTGAGAGAGAGAGGACGAGTGGGGGGTGGGGCAGAGAAAGAGAGGGAGAGAGAGACTCCCAAGCAGACTCCGTGCTGTCAGCACAGAGCCAGACATGGGGCTCCATCTTACAAACTGTGAGATTATGACCTGATCTGAAATCAAGGGTCAGATGCTTGACTGACTGAGCCACACAGGCACCCCAAGATATTTTTTTAAGTAATCTTTACACCCACCATGGGACTCAAATCTACAACCCCAAGATCAAGAGTCACATGCTCTACCAACTGAGACAGCCAGGAGCCCCTGTGGTTGTGTTATTTACTATAAAAACCCTTCTATACTTTTTAAAATTATTTTAAATGTTTATTTATTTTTGAGAGACACAGAGACACAGCTAGAGCAGGGAAGGGGCCGAGAAAGACAGAGATACAGAATCCAAAGCAGGCTCCAGGCTTTGAGCTCTCAGCATAGAGCCCAATGCAGTGCTCCAACTCCCAAACCATGAGATCATTACTTCATCTGAAGTTGGACGCTTAACCTACTGAGCCACCCAGGTGCT